GTTTTTAAAATTTCAAAACGCTCTTCAAGAGAAAACATGTTGTTTCGTGCCGCGGACGGTATGACTAATAAACTGTCAAAATTTCGGGTCTGTAGCTCGTTTGGTGTTGCCATACGACGAAATTCAAAAACGTACCAATAGATGGCCCACCCTGTAGATAAAAAATTAAAAAATTATAACATTATCAATTTATGTTGTGTATTGTAATAAAAATATAAGAAGGCATACATAAAAAAGGCTTATTATATTATATACATATATTATATTATATTAGCTTATATTAAAGGATCCATAATACATGAAATAAACTTTTAATACAGATTCAGTAAACCAAAGTTACATGTGATGTACCTGTTAATTGTAATTTCGTATTACAATGAACAATATAATTGTAATGTAACATATGTGTTATATTACAATTAATCGTACTAGAGAATAAATCGAAATCGGAAATAGACTGCGGTAGATGCGATGAGCATGCCAATGTTGTAAAAACGATATTATATGTAGACAGCGCAGGCAACCGGCAGCGTCCCAGAAATAATTGCAAAATGGAATGCTCGATTACGCGGCTAAGATTGTGAGGAATAACTGCTACTTACTTAGCTACTCATGTTAAGTACGCTTTTAATTTTAACTTTTTTAATAAAGTTGGATATCGGCACCAAATGTATTTTATCTTCAGTAGCCAACTTTTAGCAATAACAGCAAATTTGAATCAACAACTGATATTAAATTGAGCTTTGGCAGCAACAACATTAGCTATCCCTATTAGAATGGTACATTTTAGCTGCCACTGCTATATTTTAACTTCGTTGGCTAATTTTTTCTCTGTATCCATACGCAGTGCTCCGAATGTATCATGAGCTCCGAAAATGCATTAGAGAAGGGATGACACTGGAGATACCGGAGCGATGTCTAACGAATATTCGAAACAGAACGGTTTTTCCTACGGTATCGACAAGACCGTTTTCCACACGCTAAGTTTTTCGTTATCAAGCTAATTAATATTCATGCCGGAGCACGGTTCTTCGATTATCAGTGTAATAAAGTATGAACTGAATAAAGTCTTAGTCTCAATGTATATATATTCAAGAACAATTGTTAATTTAAATATCCTGAACATTATCTTTACGGATTCATATCTTACAGTGCTATTGATGTATGTATAATATATTCAGAAATTATTCTCGACAAGATTAGCGTCAATTGTCTACGTGTTTTATCGATAAAATCTGATAACATAGGGCAATCTCGATCAAACTCTGATTAATTCAATCGATAATTAGTTAAACCAGCAGAATTGTTTAAAGAAAACTTTCTAATTACATATCGGTTATCCTTCATTGTAATCTTTGTTCTCATGTTAAATTAATAATTAAAATCATTAATTTTATCTACATTAATAATTTTATCTTGTTGAAATTGCAAATATTATTTGATAAACTAGATAAATGGAATTTAATTTAAAGCCATTTATATTCTGATAGTAAAAACCGAGCAGTGTTTGTCTTCTAAATCTTATAAATGAAAATATTCATTATTATAAATAATAAGGATAATTTTTTCTGTTATAAGTTTGCTATCGGGCAGATTCAATATGTCACATATTCTGTGTTTTGTAAAATTTAATTTGATTGTTTTGGACTATTTATGATCACTTGATGACAAATTCGCACTAAAAATCCACGTTTTTTTTTTTTAAATTATCATTAGCAACGTAAATTAAATTACACGCATATAATTACGTTAGAAACATATGTATAAGATTTAAAATGTATGAAACATATTATCTATTATAATATTTGATTAAATAATTACGAATACTTTCATCGTATACATTATGGCTACAATGATGTTGCTCACAATTTCTTTTGAAAATTACACAAATGATTGTCTCATTTCATTTTCTTACAATAAATTTTACATATGATAGGATTTCAATAAAAATAAAAACCTCGGCTTATATAAACACGTAGTTACATTATTAAAACTCGCAGTAAACAATAAAAAAAAAATTCTTTGTTGATAGTAGAGTTTAATGTAAAAATGTAAGAAATTATTATGTAATAATAATAATAATAATAATAATAATGTTATACTATCATTGAGAATGATGCAAATAAGTAACAGTCTTTAATGAGAATGTTGTATACAATAAACATTGTTAGATTACAGAAGAGGTAAGATTGCAACGTATAAAAAACATGACAATGATATTTAACTTCATTATATGAATTCTGTAGCTTCTGAAGTTGTACAAGTGGTAATAAATAATGAGATGTAACAAACAATAATTTAAAATTTAAACATTCAACAAAGCATCCTTACCATTAACTGTATTCTAACAAGATGTGTAAAGTATATTACAATTCTTGGCACTTTAAATCACCTTACAAATAAATTCCCTTATTACATAATAGAAAACTCACGTTTAATTTGAACGTAAAAAATCAAGATAGATTTCAAAAATTATAAACGATAATTTTTTATACTGTTTCAGTTACTGTATTAATAATATAAATTGACATAAGTATGTACATCGCAGGAGACCAGTTGAGAGATGATACGCGAACCATAGATACAAAAAGTTTGCTTGGTTCTGCAATTGAAAAATACAATAGTATTATAATAAAATCACCTTCTCCCATTTATAATAGATTTAACCAAGATTGGCGTATAGGTGAGCATCTGATATAAAAATATATAAAATATCGTTTTCTTCACATAATAAAATTTTTTAGAATAAGTTCAAAGTAACATAACTATTTCTCTTTTATAGAACCTACAATGAAACATTATTGGGCTGCATCCTTTTTATTACCAGTCGGATCTATTTTTATTCTTACAATGGTTGTTTTGCTAATGGTAATGACTATAAATTTATCATAATCATGATCATTTTTTATTAATGAAATTTTTAATGGAAATTTTAAATTTTAAATGACAATTATAGGTATTGTTCAAACGATGTCCTCATATAATAGCCGCGATTGTTACTGCAATGCTCTCTATCATTATCTTATTAACACTTATATTGTCACTTAATCACGATCCAGTTTATATTTAATATATTTATATCAAATAATTGCATATACTGTTACATAAATCTTTCTTCCATATGTACATTGAATTGGGAGTTTGTAATTAATAATATATACAAGAATTTTTGTAACAATTATACATATTGAATAAATAGATATGTTACTTACTACTAGGACTGTTCATTCATCATTTTCATTTTAATCATGTCTTCTGAAACACGTTTTACTGTTTCCAGATACTTTTCCAAAGTTGCATCTAATCTTTCGTAGCTCTAAAATATAAATCTCAGTATATATCGAGTTGTGATGTTAATATATAAATATACATTTTTACAGATATATATTAAAAATATATATACCTCTGTATGAGCTGAGTCATTTTTCAAGTGCCGTAATTCACTTAATAATACTTCTATAGTATTAAGCGGTAACCAAACAGGTGGCGCGGTAGCTACTAATGGTGTTTCAAGACCAAAATGTTCTTTACCGCTACCTAATACCGCGTTAATATAATCTACCGCTAAGTCGCTGGCTTCCACTAATCGACCAGTATTTAGCATGAGACGGAGAAGCTCTGACGCATTTCGCTTCTACAATATTTTGATGTAAATAGAATATTTTATCAACATAGAAATTATGACTATGTACAACCAGCGTGCGCACCACAGGCATATGAGAGAAGTCACCACGCTTGGCCACGAGCAATAGGACTGAGGAGGAGGAGGAGGAGAAATATTATACAAATACTATATAAATTTGATCAAATACTTACTTTATAAGATATTAATAACCATTGTGGTAGAAAAGCTCCATCTTGCAGTAATTTTTGTGCAACGGCCTTATGTAGTTCGCAGTTATCACTTTTTTCATGCTTCAATGTGAAGTACTCTAATAATCTCCAAGCAGTGTTCGTAATGGTTGTATTAGATATTCCAATATCTGAAGAATAATTATTGTTATATATATATATATAGCTCTTGGAAAAAATATCATTCTGCAGTATAGTTTGTAAAATTATAATACAATTATACATACCAAATATATCATTTTGTATTAGCCAGTCCCAGGCGTTTGGATCCTCGCGTTGACTCAATTTGATGCATTGAGAGGTCAAACTTTTGAGTACAGAGGCTTTACTAATTTTAAATACATCGCATAAATGTAACGCTGTTGCGTATAAGCCAATACTACATAAAGTGACGATAAGTTCGGAAAGTTCTGAA